CTGGTCGGTGCACACCAGCGTGTGTTTTCGACAGCCCCGCTCCATCTGGAAAACCTTCCTCCCTTCTTTGGACAGGTGAATCTTGTGTGTGTGTGTGTGTGTGTGTGTGTGTGTGTGTGTGTGTGTGTTCAGACGTCCTTTCTCCTGGCAGCACCCAGCAACCAACCCAGGCCATTTGCTCTGTCTTCTGTGTTCCATTCACGGCTTTTATCACCCCACATTTCACACAAGATTAATTTGAGACTTTTTAAAATGATTTTTCTTTTTATTGAAAGAGTAGGTTCACCTTGCAGATAAGGTGGAGAATGTAGAAAAATAGAGAAGTGAAAGTAAAAATCACCGGTGGTCCAACCCCTGAGCTAGAAATCTCGTTATAATTTGTATCATCTCCTTCCAAATTTAAGTACATGACAGAATTTATACTTTAGTGATACTGTCATTTCTATTCTGTTAATTAACATTACTTCACAAGCATGTTACGAAGATTTTTCCAAACACCCTTCAATGGTCTTATCACAGAGCATCCCACAGATGTTGCATATCACATAGCACCATAGCCGTCCCCCTTACTGGACATTGCTGGTGTTCCCAAGTTTATTCTTTGGAACAGTGCTATATGGAAAGGCTTGGAGGTGAATCTTTGTCCTTGGGATGGAGTCCTGAAAGTGAAATCACCAGTCAGCGGATTCCCAGCTTGTAAAGCTCCTGGCAGTCATGGCCCGACCGCACCAGGCAGGGGTGAGCCCGCACAGCTGTCCCGCTGCTCCCAGACAAGTGGCCTGGGGCCCACAACTTTCGCTTTTGTTTCAGGGTACATTTTTTTGGTTATCAGTCAGGCTGAAGTCTCTGAAGGAGCCCACAAAATAGCAGCTCTTTCCCCTGCCTGCTGTCTGACAATTGCAGGAAGACCTAAACTGGACAGGCGGACTAAAGTACCACTTCTAATCCGAACGAAGGTGAACGGGGAGGAGGCAGCTTCGTGTGAGGGCGCAACGGCTATCAACTGTGTTATGAATTCAACAGCCCCACTTCTCTGCATCCTGGTTAGTACCAGCTGGACAGATGGATGGAGAGTCCGCCGGGACAGACCTTCCCTGGTATGGGCACTGTCCGGTGAATCTCAGCATGGGGGGAGAAGAGACAGAAGAGGATTCCCCCTCCCCGGCAGGCATCTGGCTCCCAAAAAGAAGAAGGGAGCGTCTGAGTAAGCACCTCTTTTTACTTTTCAGAATGGTCCTCTTCTCTAGGGGGAGCATTAGGAAGGGGCAGCAGAGACATGGGTTCATCTGGGGAGAGTTCACCCTGTTAGGGTGTCTGGAGAGTGAAGAGAGGTCACACTTCTCTACTGTTTTCATCAGCCTAATGTGTCTCCTCCTATTTGTGCATATTCTGCTCATTTTCTGTTGAGCTTGAAATGCACGAGTGCTTTGTCGAGTCATTATTACATTTTTATTTGTCTTTTCTTCTTATTTAAAATGTCTTTGAATTATGCATGTTGTTCAATTATTATTTAGCCGTGTGTGTGTGTGTGTGTGTGTATATATATATATATATATATATATATATATATATATATATACATACATGGCATACTGTTCCAATCCTGGAAGTTAGCCACTGTTACCATCTTCATCAGAGTCGAGTAAGTCTCCTGTGCTGGGCGTTCTATAAGACCTGTGTGTAGGCTAGCTCATGAAATCTTCACGGCAGCCTCAATCAGGAAGAAATGGCTCCCCAAACCACGGTTTGTGAGGGGCAGTGAGATGCCAGGAGCTCAGATGGGGCAGGGCCAGCGTGGTCTGACTCCAATTGCTGTGTCCCCATGGCCATGTCACCCCAGAGTCAGGAATTACAGGCTCAGGGCTCCCATCCCAGAGCCAAGCATTTGGGAAATAAAAATGCTTATTTATGTGGGCTCCTAATTACTCTGCCAGGAAGCGAGCTTGTCACTGCTGATGATTTGGGGTAGGAACGATACAGATTCCAACTTACGAATGATATACAAAGCTACGGGAGAGGCTGTGACTCAGCTTAATGCTCTGTTTTGAGAAACATCAAAGCTCCCACAGATTTATCTGTCTTCCCAGGGATTCAGCTGTTCCCAGAAACCACTCTCACCCTTGATACACTTGGTGGGCTCTTTTCTTTCCATTTGATTTCTTTTTCTCAATGACAGAAGTAAATTATTGAAAGTTTTTGAAAAACCACAGTAATGGATTTAAAAGATGGTTCACAACCAGATAGTCCCTCCTCCCATCAACTTTTTAGATAATACTTAAATAATCGTAAGCACTTAAATAATAAAGAATAAAGAACGGAATAATATTAATTAACACTTCAATAATAATAAGTGCCACCGTTCATGAAGTTCCTACTCTGTGCCAGGAACCCAGGTGAGTTCATGTAATCCAGGAAGTGGCAGAGTCTGGCACTCTTCCTACCCCTGTTTCCCAGGAATGGGAACAGAGACACAGAGGCGTTAGTAGGAAGCCCCAGGTCCCACAGTCCGTACGTGTCAGAGCTGGGATCTCAACAGCAATCTCAGGCTCCTGAGCCCCTGGTCACAGCTACTCCATCCAAAGCCTCTGGTCACAGCTACTCTCCTCTGTTAATCCTTCCGGGCAGACTTTCTGGAGATGTTAATGCTCTTTGTTTAAATAAACACCGGTAGATGCCAAGGAACTTATGCAGGTCAGGCGACCACCTTTTCTTTCTTTTCCCTTTCTTTATAGCAACATTACTTGTTTCACCTGACAATGTATTTGGACATCTTTGCAGATGTAACATAGAGAGTTAAGAGATGTTTGACAATGTTTTATAGTACAGGCAACCACAAATTGTGGCTGACTATACTCTATGGGACCATTTCACTACTTATGGGCACTTAGATTATTTCCAGTTGTTTTCTCTAGAAATAAGTATTTTTATGCACAAACCTTTATACAGCATTTTTTTAAATATCAACAGAATATATTGCTAAAATGGGTATTGCTGCATCAAAAGGCTTACATATTTGAAATTCGAACACATCAGTCCCATGTGGTCATAGGCTAATTCTACCAAAACTTTAAGGAATGAATTTCATATGAATTCCGACAAACAATAAAAAAAAAAGAGAAAGAGAGATTACTTCCAAAGTCATTTCATAAAGTCATCAAAACCACATGCTAATAGAACTCAATGACATCACAGAAAGGGGGTATTTGGGTCTATGTAATTCATGCCTGTAGACATAAAATATTGGAGAATGGAACCCAACAACATATATAAAGATGATCCAGAACAATACATTTGCATTTTATACCAGTTATCCAAAAACGGTTGGATATCCGAAAAGGCATATATAGAATTGAATATGCCCATCCGTCAAAAGAGAAACAATCTGGTAATCTCAGTAAATTCAGAATATCACGATATACGAAAACACCCCATCAGGATTTTATTTTAAAAGTCTAAATTTTAGGGACGCCTGGGTGGCTCAGTTGGTTAAGCAGCTGCCTTCCGCTCAGGTCATGATCCCAGCGTCCTGGGATCGAGTCCCACATCGGGTTCCTTGCTCATCAGGGAGCCTGCTTCTCCCTCTGCCTCTGCCTGCCATTCTGTCTGCCTGCGCTCGCTCGCTCTCCCTCTCTCTCTCTGACAAATAAATAAATAAAATCTTTAAAAAAAAAAAGTCTAAATTTTAGAATAGAGATTTCTTTTGTGTACTAAAGTGTATCCACAAAAAATACAGAACAAATGTCTTCCTAGATAGGGAAATGTCAAAAGCTTTCCTTTTAAATGGAAAAAATGAGTCTGGAAACCCTACCACTGCTTTTGTTAACACTGTTAGTCCAGGGGAGCAGATGGTCTCTACATCAAGGTCAGTGTTTTGGCCATTCCAGGTGACAGGGTACCTTAAATTCTGAATCATGTCTTGCCTTCTCACTAAAAGTGGCCCTGGGGCTACCTTCATGGGAAAGTAAGCACGTAACATGTGGGGGGTTTCTCACAGGCAAAGGAAAAGCTCCCGCACTAAGTGGATCTTAAAGGATAGGGAGACAAGAATAAATATGCGTTGTGATCACAGCCTCCACGATTAGGTTATTTAAAATAACAGTTATGGGCACAAAAGTCAATAGCTCGTTACTGAACTCAAAACCCAGGCAGAAAATATTAAGCAGACAACTTCTATTTACAGTAGCAACAGAAGCAGAATAATTAGGAATAAGATAAATAAGAAGGTACAAGATTTATATGAAGAAAACGATATATAATCTCTGCTGATGCATATTCAGACAAAAACCTTTTAAAAAGAGAGAGAGATGGGGCACCTGGGGGGCTCAGTGGATTAGGCTTCTGCCTTCTGCTCAGGTCATGATATCAGGGTCCTGGGATCAAGCCCCACATGGGGCTCTCTGCTCGGCGGGGAGCCTGCTTCCCTTCCTCTCTCTCTGCCTGCCTCTCTGCCTACTTGTGATCTCTTTCTCTCTCTCTATCAAATAAATAAATAAAATCTTTTTTACAAAAAGAGAGAGAGAGAGACTGGTTGGCTCAGTGGGTGGAACACGTGACTCTTGATTTTGGGACTATGGGTTCAAACCCCATGTTGGGAGTAGAGATCACTAAGAAATAAAATAAAATAAAATAATATATAATATAATATAATTGACACAGAGCAGAAACCCAATATTATTTTAAAATGTTATTTATTCTCACCTATGTTAGATAGGACTCAACCTATAGCCCAAGAGAATTTTTGAAACTTGGACAAATAATTTTAGGTTTTATTGGTAGGGAAAAAGAAATATAGAATAACCAGGACATTGTTGGAAAAGAAAAATTATAAAAGGAATATATTTATTTACCAGATGAATCCTAACATGAATTATGAAGCTAAAATTCATTCATTCTACAAAATATATTGAGTGCCTTCTCTGAGCTAGATGTGACTGAAGAGGTGGGTAAGTTCTAGGCAGAAGCAGGAAACATTGTGAGAGCTTCTCCAGTGCTTGGCTTCCTGCATAGTGACCCAGAAGGTGCTGGCTCCCCTCGAAGAGGCAGCTGCAGAACACAGAAGAGCCAGCATCAGCTCCTCAGCCACCTGGGCCATGACAAGCTTTCCAACAAGCAAGGTAGGGACTGCATCATCTTTTTGGAATTGACCTCCAAGTCAGCGTGGCTTTGACTGCATACTGCAAGCAAACCACATGGGACCCAGACTACAGTGGGAGGGGAATCAGGTTTTCCTTGAGGCAGAGCAGAGGCTGGGTTCTAGCAGAGCCTGGCACAGGGAAATGGCATTGCTACTGGCTTCAGAAAGTACAGAGTTCCCAAGGTGAATGTCATTCATTTGCTGGGGAGCCTGGCTTCAGCTCGGGTGCAGAGCTGGAACAAGAAAGCACTCCTGAGGGGTCAGTGGAAAGCAGAGGCAGGCAGGCAGGGGGCCAGACCTAGGAGGATGTCCTACAGGGTCAAGGGTGGGATGGCATGTATGAGGCATCTGGGTACTATGCTGAAGGAGGTGCTCTCTCTTGGGGCCATGTGATGACACACTTCCTTAAATTTGGCATGTTACTTGTCTCCCTCATTTCAGCTGAATTGTAACACCAAAGCAATAGCAAGAAAAACCTTCAGATGAGCAGAAGTGAGCAGAAGGTCACTTCCAGGGACAGGGCTGCTGGGAGCACCATGGCACGCAGTGTCCTTGGGCTCCTGGTCAGCAGCTTTGAGGAGGAGGCTTGTGGTCAATAACCCTTAGTATGGACTGTGTCCAATTTTGATGAAGGAGACTCTGATATATCAAAGAACTGTCTTCCCTGGTGGCTGGGAGAGAGAGGGTATTAGCAAGTTGGCAAACATCCATTTCTTGATCAAATCAACATTGGTCCACAGAGCCTGGAAATTCTAATGAACTGGAACTGGAGAGGTCATAGGATTGTCCAGAAGAACAGGTCTCAGGCTCCCTTGGGCACAGCACATCCTTCCTTCTCTGCCATGCTACCAGTGTATGGAGAGGTGGCTGCTTGCAGGTGACGTGGGCTGGGGAGGGCAAAGGCTGGCACTAGTAAAAAGAGATGCCACCTGAGGTCCCACCAGACAAAATCCCAGGCAACTATGGTCCCAGGGTCCCAGATCCGAGCTGTACAAAGACCTTCTAGGGCAGGCTCTGGGCACATGTGAGTTTAAGAGGCCACAACAGCTGTGATACCTGTCACATAGCTCTGTGATCATTCCATGGTTCCTGACTTCAGGTGTTCCCAGGAAATTCATTCACTCTAGAGAGAAGATGGATGCCATCCAGTCTGGCGTCCTCCCTTGCCCATTGTGTCTGCCACTAAGGTGGTGTCTTCCTAGGTCCTTCACCCTGTTTAATGAGAAAGTCACATGGGGGTTGGGGAGAGGAACAAGCTGAATGGGGAGGAAATACCACATTTGGGATCAAATAAGCAAAAGAAAGTTGGAGGTATAAGAGGGAGGGTGGGACACAGAAGGGAATGAGCTTCAAGTACCAGGAGGGGCCAAAACACACATTTGAGGCTGAGTAGGGGAAATGCCAGGGCCACCTGCATGACTGCAGGCAGATAAAGAGGTAGATTAAGGACCAACACGATGGGGGAAAAGAATCACTCTGGCTTCTTCTCCCTAGCCTTCAGGTAAAGTGAGTTTGATGGAGCTCCAATCTTGTTTCTTTGTTTCTACTTCTTCCTGTATTTATCTAAAGATGAGAATACAGGGAGATCCCCCCCTTTTTTTTAAATATATATTTTTTTATTTCTTTTCAGCATAACAGTATTCATTGTTTTTGCACCACACCCAGTGCTCCACGCAATACGTGCCCTCCCTAATACCCACCACCTGGTTCCCCCAACCTCCCACCCCCTGCCCCTTCTTTTTTTTTTTTTTTAAGTGTCTTCCATAGCAAACTGGCTCTTTAAGCCCCAGGCCTGAGAGAGGAGTGATCCAGATCTGAGGGTCTCCAGGAGCAGAAGATAGTCCTTGCCTGAGATCCATGTCCCTACAGTTCTACTCCAGGGACCTCCCTGTATGCTGCTCCGAAGAGCCACTAGCAAGGGGAGGCAGCAGTGCTGCTTGGCACTCCACGGAGAGGTTCCCAGCTGGGGCCAAATCAGTAGGGTCCATGGGGAAGGAAGCAGGCAGCAGATGGGTTTGGCCTGGAGACATCTTTTTCAAGTTTTTTGACTTTATCTCTTCCTCTTTCCCTTATTTCTGTAGAGCTCCCTTTTAGCATGGCCACTCTTTCGTGGCATCAGAAAATCAAAGGATTGAGAGAGATGGAACTCTTGCTTTCAGCTTTGTGGTGCCTATACCTGGAACAGGACACATGTCCCCCTTCTCTGTGATGCTTACACCCTAATGGTTCAGGTAATTACTCTGTGGTCTATTGATAACGTTGGCTTCCTCACAGAGAAGACTTCGTGCACATTGCCTGGCACACATCTCCTGAAACACCATTTTGCGTGAAAAAAATGCATAATGACGTGCTCAGGTAGAGTGAGTGCTTGGCATGGATCTTAATGAATCAGACTCACTCAATCAGATTATATTCGTGTTGATTAGGACTCATCACACACGTTTAGGATAATGGCGATGACAATGGGGATTAAAACGCCAGAAGGTAGAGTCTCTGAAAGACTTTAGGCAAAGAGTATCTTGAGATGGTTATAGGTTCAGAGGCAGTTGAAAAAAATGCCTTCCCATGATGGCATCTTTCAAAACTATAGTCCGCTATTGCAGTTAGGATATTGGCATTGATGTGGTCAAGATATAGGACGTTTCATCCCTATAAGGAGCCTGTTGTGTTGCTTTTCTATAGCCACACCTGCTTCTTTCCTACTCCTAACTTCTAATCTGTTTTCCATTTCTGTGATTTTGTCATCTTAAGAATGTTATATAAATGGAATCCAGTATATAACATTTTTTCACTCAGCATAATTTTCTGGAGTTTCTTCTAGGTTATTTGATTCTCAATAACTTATCCCTTTTCATCACTGGTAGTGTTCCATGATGGAGTGTAACTCCAAGGTATGGGAGTACCTCCAGGGTATGGGCGCACCTCCCTGCATGGTATAAATGCATCTCCCTCCAGGGTATGGGTGCAACTACCTCCAAGGTATGGGTGGTCCTCCCTCCAGGGTATGGGTGGTCCTCCCTCCAGGGTACGGGTGCACCTCCCTCCTGGGTATAGTTGCATTGCACTTGTGCAACAATCCACCCATTGCAGGATATCTGGGCTGCTGCCAGTCTTTCGCTATTATGAGTAAAGCTGTTAGGAATGTTTGTGTACAGGTTTGTGCATGAATATACACTTTCATTTCTTTGAAATAAATGCCCATTGGCAAAGGGTTTTTAACCCTCAAAAAAGCTGGTGGGGGGAGAATTGTTTCATAGTGCCTGAAAACTGGGAGAAATGGCTTCTGAGAAAAAGAAGGCAAGAGCAGGAAGAACTGAGCAATGTGCCAGCTTCTTCATGTTGTAGCAGGTGCACAAAGATGCAAATTGCTGAGTTGGTTTGTATTCCACAGTCTGCACGTTAGTGGTCAACTCATCGGTGCAGATGCAAAGAGCATAAAAATGCTGGAGAAGTGGAAATACAATCTGTGAAAACCCTACTTTAAAGATTAATTTTAAAATCCCAAACTGAGAGCTCTGGGGACACTACCTCACTGTGTTAGGGAGCCTGAAAGGAGACTGTGGGTTGATGTCCAACCCCACTGCTGGGAAGAACCCTCCAGGCATTAACAAGGGTAGTGATGGAAATCAGGGGTCTCTCATAGACGCTGGGTCACAGTGACTATGTAGCACCATACAGCTCTCCAAGAAGGGGGCAACCTCTCCATATACATTTATTTTATTTATTGAAAGGCAAAAGAAACTTCAGGAAAATTTTATTTTCTATTAATTTCGCAGACTGAGGATTACAAAAAGATAAGTATAGGACCAGCATGTGAGTCAAAAGCTAAATAAAAACTTACATCAAAGACAATCAACAGAGATTCATTTCCAACAGAAAATCACATCCATTTATGTGGAAGAGAATTTTGAAAAATCAGAACACAGAATAAGAAATAAAGAAGTGAGAAGATGATAGACAAGGTAAAAGACATGGAAGAATTTTAACTGAAAACCAATCTAATAATATTCCCACAAAGGAAAAAAAAGAATAAATGGAGCAGAAGCGGTATTTGAATATAGGAAGAATAATTTTAAACCAACATTTCAGATCTAATAGGACTCAAATATGAAGAGCTAGTTGGCCACACGAACTTAACAAATTTAATTACAGGCTGGTAACACCCAGACTTATCTGAACTACATTTTTAAAAGTCAAAGGTCATAAAAGAATTTTATAAGTATTCAGGGAGTAGAAAAAAACCCAAATGGGTAATGTATTGCCTTCAAAAAATAAAAATCAGATAAACTATAGACTTCTGTGCCAGTTCAAGCTAAGAAAATTAATTTGGTTTGGAAAAACAAAAACAACAACAGTAAGATGTGACCCTTAATCATTTTTTGTCTGGAGAATTTGTGAGTGACATTTGCAAGCAGGAAACTAAAAAACATTCTTCATACATATCCTTTCCTGTGATGCAGCAACATAATGCTTTTCCTAATAAATAATAACTTGTAAATGTTCTTAAGATCCCAGACACAGAATCATATTTAAGTATGATGAAGTTTTGTTGAAAGTAATTGGGTAGGTGATAAGGATTAAAATCTGTTTAATTTAATTAATTAATCAATTAAATTAATTAATTAAAGTTAATTAAAATCTGTATAGATAAGTCACAGTAATTCTTTGAAATTTGCATGTGAATTTGAAATCATAACAAATAGTCAATACAAATAATAATAAAAACTAATCATAAAAATGTAAATAATGATGTGATGTGGTTTATGATCTCAGATAAAATCACAGGAGATTGGGTAGTATTGGAATAATAAGTCAACGCTTAAGGATCTTCATCTCCCGTGAAAGAAAGGAAAATGAGCTTGGTTTCTTTTTCAGCATGAAAATACCTCAACTTAGGTTCAAGACCTTTTTGCAAAGCTATAAAGTAAAGGCTCGTGAAACTAAAATCAGATTTTAAACTTCTAGATTGCTGAAGAAGTGAAAGCAGATAGAACACTGTTTGTAACAAAAGATGGAGAAAAAGTGAGAAGGAAGAACAAGAACATATACCCAAGCTTAGAGAAGACCCAGCAAAAATATTATAGTAGTAAAAGGGCTTTTGTTCTCGTATTGAATAGCATGATTTGTATTAGATCATTAAAACTTCATTAACTAGCTTTCTATAAAAAAAAATCCACTTAAGAGAAACAGAAGGTTAAACATAAAATAAACTCTAGAACCAAACCGGTAGTAACAGAATAATATAATTTTTAAAAGGCAGGTATGACGACATTAATATCAGACAAAGAGTTTTAGTCAGAAAACATGAAGCAGGACCTGAGGTCATTTTACGTATAGAGTGAAGAGCCATTCTTGGTTCAGCTACATCACGAACTAGGTGTGTGCCCTGAATGTCTCGTGCGGAAATTCAGCAAAATAAACCTATTTCTTCTAAAAATCACAATTGTGTAGAAGACTTTGCATAGCTCTAAAATTTTAGCTGTCAGCACGTTCTGGAAAACAAAGAGCATATCTGAACCATAAAAGGACTGAGGGGAAATGATAGATACCACACGTGGTGCTCTAAACAGTTTCAAAAAAGTAAATAATAGTTTTATAAGCACGAAGCTTTTCCACAGGAGGCTCAGGCAAAGGGCCGTGGACATCCTCCTTCTCTTTGGGCTGATTAACCACAAAATTTCTTTGACGGTAGCCCTCCTCCGAGGTTTACATGCAGAACCCATGGATGGCCCACCACCCTGGGACATAACTGGGGGCCCCTGTGTCTGTTTTGGTAACAGCTCCAGAGGCGTACAAAAAAATCCCTTCTGCTGGTGTAATTACTGTCTCTTTAACCGTTTATGTGATTAGTTGGCCTTTATTAAAGCTACTGGGTGTTTGACCCTGGGCTGAAAACGTGCTCTATCCATCTTATTTAACAAACCCGTCATGACTCCAGAGCCACGAAGATGCGCTCTCATTTTCATCTCAAAGTGTTCTGACATTATCTTTATTTTTTTTTAAAGATTCTATGTATTTATTTGACATGGAGAGAGCGAGTGAGAGTGCACAATTGGGGGAGGGGCAGAGGCAGAGGGAGAAGCAAACTCCCCACTGAGCACGGAGCCCGCCACAGGAATTGATCCCAAGACTCTGGGATCATGACCTGAGCCGAAGGCAGACGCTTGACAGACTGAGACACCCAGGCACCAGGACATTATCTTTCACATATGGAACAGCAAAGCATCTAGAAGTGATTTTTTAGGGATGCTCTAAGAGAAACATCAGGATTAATTTTTTCTATCAAAATTTACTGAACATTTTATTAATCTCCCAACTCCCTTGCCTGCCATGTCACCTTTATCATAAATTAAATGATTGTGAATTTGTGGTCTGTTTCTGTATTTCATTCCACTCCATCACCTGTCTGTCCGTCCTCTCTCTCGTCAATATGCCATCCTTTTGTTTATGGCTCTGTAGGTGAGGAGAGCTGGTGACCAGGCACCCGATTCTTTCCCTCAGGATTGCTGTGGCTGTTCTCAGCGACGGGCACTCCTGACAGGGCCTCAGACAGTGTGTCACAAAGGCCTTAGGAGAGGTTAAGGAAGAAAGGGATTTGCCCACGTCTGAATTGTTCAAAGTTGGCTTTGGTCACAGTCCAAGTGTGGTCGGGCCAGGTGGGCAGCTTTTGCGGCAGCCCGTGCATGTTGGGAGAGCAGCTGAGGGGAGAATGTGTGATGAGGAGTCCCAAGGGCGACCAACCCCTCCCCAGACCCCATGCTCCCCATCTCAGCTCCACTGCCTTTCCTGGCCCCTTTCTCTTCCATGCTCCTCCCTGCCCCAGGACCTTTACACATGTGTGTCTATCTGCCCGAAAGCCTCTACCCGTTCCCCTTGGTCTTATTCCCTGTTCCTGGTCTTCCATCTCTGTTCACATGACTTTTCTGCAGAAAGCCCTCCTCCAGGATGATAACGAATGAGACCAGCAACAAAAGTAGCTACAATTTTTAATTACTGGCTACCAGATACCAGGTTCTATTTGGAGGACCACTGAGGAGGCAGCATTTGACAAAGCAGATAAACTGCTTGCTGACGCCTTCACAGTCTGGTGGGAGAGATAAACAGCGAACAAAACATTATATGACAAATTGGACATGAATAAGTCTTACAAAGAAAGCTTAATCAAACATCCCCTAGATCTGCAACTGGAAGCAAGGTAAGATTTCTGAGATAAGGACACCTTCCCAGCCCATGTTACAGCCTCATATTGGGGATGAAGTAAAGAACTCATGCTGTCATATTTTTTTAAGTATGCTCCACATCCAACGTGAGGCTCAAACTCTTGACCCTGAGACCAAGAGTGGCACACTCTACCGACTGCCAGCCAGGCACCTCCTACTCTTGTATTTTGAAAGTGGTGAAGTGTCATCTAGAACGCAAAGTGCCATCTGCTAAGGCTGGGAGCCTGCTTGCTCATCCACTATGCACAGTAACACTCTTCTAACGGGAGGGTGTTGTCATGGCAGGTCCACCAGAACTCTGGGGTGCAGTGGCGACCTGATCAGACGCCACCCCTCATCTTGCCACGTTCCCCGCTCACAAGCCCGCCCTTAAGTCTGATCCCTTCTGGAGCGAAGTGTTCACCTCTGTGATGAACATCCTCAGCAACTCCCGCACGCGGGCTGTGCTCGGGAAGACGGGGCGTTATAAATTTCATTTTCTTCCAGTTTCCTACAAGGATGGAAAAGCTTAATTGCTGAGTGTGTGGGTTTATTTTTCTGTTTTGTGCTGCTCTGAGATATTTTAAGGTATTATTTGAGGGGAAGAAATAATTCCAAGAAAGAAGCTTCTGGTGTTGAAAACTCTAGGGTTTTCATGTGATAAGACGTGGCATGAAAGGAAAGAAAAAAAAAAGATTCTTTTTAAATTGTCATGGTTCCTGAATTTCTCCAAGGAGAGGATGTGTGCCCGTGTGGTTTGGGGCACAGAATTGCTAATGTTCACTGGGGATCAATAGGCTGCTTCTGCTTCTGGTCCAGCATTCTTGGGGACACTTACTGGAAAGAAGAGCCTCTGAGATCTGGGAAGGCAGGGACTGCCAGCTCAGGGAGGGGACAGCCCTGTCTTTTGGCAGGCTCTTCCCACATGCTGCTGCCCACGTAGTGGTTTCTGCCACTCTCCTGATGACGAGCTGAGACCCCTGTGGACCTGGCTGTCATGGAAAGTCTATCGTGTATCAAACTCTGGGCCAGGTTGGGGGTGGGGGGTGGTAGTTGCCAAACCTCATTCCTGAGAGCCTGGGGAGGGGTGATTGTTAGCATCCCTCTGAGGTGCCTCTGAGGGACAGGCAGTGGCTGGTGGCCCACGTGGCTGTCGTGTGGTTTAGCAGCTGTTCCTCTTTTGGAGCCTGACCTATCTCCATCTAGTTCTCTTCTGCTCTTTTTATTTTGAAGATCACTCATTGTACCTCTTCTTGTTTTCAAATTGAGTCATAGACAGTAAGAAATGGAAAGAAGAAAATGCTTCACCCTTCCAATCTGTTGTGTAGCGTGTAGCTACTCTTCACAGGTGGTGGGCAGCCTTCCCAAAATCGTCCTAAATTCATTCAGATCTATTTATATTCTTAGGCAGACATATTTATATAAAACAGAATCATGATGTGTATGGGTGCATGTGTGTGTGTGTGTGTGTGTGTGTGTGATGTTTGCATATGTACAAATAGAATTACTTTTTTTAACATCATGGACATATTTCTAGACCAGTACATGTCGATCTTCCTCATTTTTAATGGTTTCGTAGTGTTCTTCTATTTGACTCCAGAGTAATTTATTCATTCTTCTCTCTTAGAGATGCACGTGCTTTTCCAGGATTTTCCCCTCACTGGTTTTTACATTGTCATTCCATGCATGAGCTAGCCTATAGTTTTAACTGCAATGATTGCTCAGGTGGCCAAGATTCATCACTCTGCAGAGCAATTGAAGGTGCTCGTTCGTCTGAAATCTCCTTGATATTTGGGATCCAACTGTGTGCACAAGACACATTCTCAGTACTGGGATATAATAAAAAAAAAATGAATCAATCAATCTTTTTAAAATAAGTGTTGTGCTCCTGATTAAGAAGTACTGTGCAGGACTTGGATAATACTTTATATAATAGTTAATTTAAGAAAGACAAAAAAGTTTAACAAGCTCCAGCTCTTCTTCCTCCATTTACTCTTTGTTATATTAAATAGTGGTTTTTCTATCTTACTGATTTTTTTTTCAAAGAAACACCACTTAAATTCATTCACCAATTCTTCTGCTTTCTTATTGATTCTTCTGTTTTGTTTTTATGGCTTTCCCACTTCTTGAGTTGAATGTGTAGTTTTTAATGCATTTTAAAGTTAAAGAACACGTTGAATGCTATGAATTTATCTCTAGGAACAACTTTGGCTGAATTACATCTATTTTCATATGTAATATTCTGATTTCTAAATATTTGCACTGAAATTGTGATTTCTCTTTGATGCAAGAGGGTTTTGTTTTGTTTTGTTTTTTTGTCCCTCCAATTGTTTGTATTTTTATTGTTAGTAGTTTTTGGTAATTCTTTTTTTTTAATTAATTAATTAATTTTAAAAAATAAACATATAATGTATTTTTATCCCCAGGGGTACAAGTATGTGAATCGCCAGGTTTACACATTTCACAGCACTTATCATAGCACATACCCTCCCCAATGTCCATATCCCCACCATCCAGTTTTTGGTAATTCTTGATTTTCTTTTGCATTGTAGTTAGACAATGTAGATCATTTGTATTTGGGGGGAGGTACTGAGATTTTTCAAATATAAGAGCGTATTTAAGAAAAGAATGAAAATACCAGTGATAGAAAAGAGCAAATTTTGTCATAGATTTGAGCAGAGTTGAGAACTAAATATATGACAAGTGTGTCAGAAACTCATTGCTTAATACACAGTGCTGACACAGGTGGCTCTCTGTGCAAGAGAAAGCAAAACTAAATCCCTACTTTCCTAACAGAGCAGCCACTTTGGGCCACAGAGAATGCAGAGACAGCTAATGTAATGAGGAGCCAAGGATAAGAGAGTGTCTGGACAGAAGAAAGGAATGAGCAGTAGTCTCAAGCTCAGTAAGAAAATGATAAAAATGTTTTTGCTGAGGCACCTGGGTGGCTCAGTGGGTTAAAGCCTCTGCCTTCAGCTCAGGTCATGATCCCAGGGTCCTGGGATTGAGCTCCACATTGGGCTCTCTGCTCAGCAGGGAGCCTGCTTCCCTCTCTCTCTCTGCCTGCCTCTCAGCCTACTTGTGATCTCTGTCTGTCAAATAAATAAATAAAATCTTTTAAAAAAAAGTTTTTGCTTTATTCGGCGATTAGAATGTGATTTGTAATCTTAGTAAATACAGTTTTAAGGAGCAGTAGAAGCAGAAAACAAATTGCACTGGATTGTAGAGTGAATAGGAGATGAAAAAATGAGACATTGAAAGGGGGTCAATAAGTTTGGATGAGAAGGGGAAGAGGAACAGCTGGGAGAGAGAACAGAGGCACAAAGGTGAGAGCAGTCTGGACACACTTACCTACTGAAGGAAAAAGAGCCTATTCAGAAATCAGACTGTAGGCACCAAAAAGGGAAGAGATCCCTTCTGGCAGGTGGCCACATCCCAGTTTCCTGGGACAGTCCTCACATGCACCCGTTGTCACAGCATCCAATTGATCTTCCCAAAGACCATATTTTATTTCCCAAAATGTCCCAATTTGGATAACACATTGTGCAATCACCCCTCTTATGGAGCATCTTTCCAGAGAGAGTGTGGTCCAAAACACAGGTGGAGACAATGGCCTTAAATAGAAAGAGGGCCATCTCATTTTGGGGGACATGAAGGAGGAGAGAGAAAGGACAGGGCTAAGTCTTTGGTGCAGGATGTCCAAGATTCCACAGTCAGCCCTAGTTCCTGAAGTGGTGGCAGAGGAACAGGTGGAGGCAAACCCCACCTCTGACATTCTTTGAAACATATCAGAATCTTCCACAGTGTCAAACTGGAAAAGTCTCATTCACCCCATATCAAACCT